AGAGATTTTTTATTACTCTGAGATCAGCCAGATGGAGCACATTTTTTTAGTCCTGTATGTTCCAAAGAGCAGAGCCATCAAACAGATGGTAGCTCTTGGTTTAGACTTGAGAAATAGGAGGAAACTAACTCAGAATAAAGAGGATTTTAATAGTTAAAAGTAGAACCAGTGGACACGGTCTGCGATTGAAGGCGGGTAGAATCGGAACAAATCTGCAGAGACACAACTTCAGTGAGTGAGTCGTAAACTTGTGGAACAGGCTCCCTCGGGAGACGGTGGAAGCAGAAAGTGTTGTTTGTTTCAAGAACAAATTAGATAGATTTCTGCTAGAAAATAGTATCTCGTATATAGTTTGGGACATGACATATCAATAATAATAACGTAATAATAATAGTACAAATCCTTGCATTTGATATAGGACTTTATCACGTCTTCGAGACTTCTCAAAACAGAATATACCGTAAAGTGAGTTGACTGTATATTTTGTGGGCGAAATGCAGGGATAGTAAAAGGCCAACTTGGTCTTCTTTCGCCAGCAAATTCTTATCTTTTTATGATTTTTCCATCCCTTGCGAAAGGCATGGATAGAATCGGGTGTCCAAGCGGTTGTGCTGGGAGGAGCGAGGGCTGTGAGCAGCGCTGGAGCGATGTGAAGGATGTTGATGAGTGGGATCATCAGCAGGAAAGAGTGGGTGATGAGTGGAGGAGATCATTGTTGTGGAGAGGAATAGAGCAGGAGAGGGAACCGAGCCCTTGGGGAACCCCTGAGGTTGATAGGAAAAAGAGTCCAAAGATGAATAATCAACTAATAATAATATAATAATAATAATAATCCTTGCATTTGATATAGCGCTTTTCACGTCGGGAGGACGTCCCAAAGCTCTTCACAGAACACACTGTAAAGTGAATTGACTGTATATTTGTGGGCGAACGCGGCAGCCAATTGCGCACAGCAATGTCCCACAAACAGTCGTAGATTGAAAATGACCAATTTATTATTGTTTTGTTTTGGAGGGATTATTATTAGGCTCTGTGTGGAGTAAGGAAACTTGCCCAAGGTTTCGCCCTCTGCCTGGAATTGAACTCAGGTCTCTCACTTGCAAAGCGAGTGCTCTAACCACTGAGCTACAGGACTCCACAACTGTAGCACAAGAGAGAGCAATTGAGAAGAAAGTAGATAGCGCAGAGCAGTGACATGAGCTATATCAGATGATGGTAACCTGTCTGGCAGCGCAGGGAGCGAGGATGTTTGGAAGGCTTTGGAGATGTCCAAGCTGTTGACCGGTCACACCAATTGTGTAAGGCGGTCACAGGCTCGGGTCACAGCTAGTGCAGTCAATTACCTCCAGTTTCAACATTTAAGCAAACCTGTCAGTGTTGCTAAACTGCAGCTGCCTCATCTCAGGACTATCTGAACACCAACCGGCTGCTTTAGATTCTTTAGAAAAATGAGCAGTTAGTACTGTGTTTTTTTTAAGCCCTTCACGGGACACACTATAAAGTGTAGTGATTGTGTACTTTGTAGGTGAATGAGGCAGCCAATTTGTGCCCAGTGACGTCCTGCAAACAGCCATTGACTGATTTTATCAAGGACACTGGGAAAGAAACTCCCTTGTCTTTTTGAACAGTGCCCTGGGATTTTTAATGTTTACCTGAATAAGCACAGATATGGTTTCATGTCTCATTCGAAGGACAGCATCTCTGATAATGCAATACACCCCCAGCACAGCACTGGAATATCAGCCTAGACTATGGGAGTCCCCGATGTAGCGCTTGAACCCACAACCTTCTGACTTGGAGGCGAGAGTGTTACCGGCTGAGCCAGGCTGACACACAGCGACTGAATCATAGAATTATATAGCACAGAAGGAGGCCATTCGGCCCATCATGTCTGTGCCGGCTCTTTGAAAAGAGTTTCCAAATCAACCCCACTCCCCCGCTCTCTCCCCATAGCCCTGATCAACCCCACTCCCCCGCACTCTCCCCATAGCCCTGATCAACCCCACTCCCCCGCTCTCTCCCCATAGCCCTGATCAACCCCACTCCCCACTCTCTCCCCATAGCCCTGATCAACCCCACTCCCCTGCTCTCTCCCCATAGCCCTGATCAACCCCACTCTCTCCCCATAGCCCTGATCAACCCCACTCCCCTGCTCTCTCCCCATAGCCCTGATCAACCCCACTCTCTCCCCATAGCCCTGATCAACCCCACTCTCTCCCCATAGCCCTGATCAACCCCACTCCCCCGCTCTCTCCCCATAGCCCTGATCAACCCCACTCCCCCACTCTCTCCCCATAGCCCTGATCAACCCCACTCCTCCGCTCTCCCCATAGCCCTGATCAACCCCACTCCCCCACTCTCTCCCCATAGCCCTGATCAACCCCACTCCCCCACTCTCTCCCCATAGCCCTGATCAACCCCACTCCCCCACTCTCTCCCCATAGCCCTGCAAACTTGTTCTCTCCAAACAATTATCTATTTCTCTCTTAAAAGTTGTTACCGAATCGGTTCCCACCAGCCTTTCAGGCAATGCATTCCAGATCCCAACGACTCGCTGTGTGAAAACAATTCTCCTCACTCCCCTCTGTTTCTTTTAACAACTATTTTAAATCTGTGTCCTGGGGTTACCGACCCACCCGCCAGTGGGAACAGTTTCTCCTTGTTCACCCTATTGAATCCCCTCATATTTTGAAAACTTCTATTACATCTCCTCTTAACCTTCTCTGTCTATGTCCATTTGCAGTCTGCTACTATCCTCCTCACTGGTTACTATTTTTCCTCCTTCTCTTTGACCGTGCCTTCAGCTCCCCTCTCGACTCTCTTCCTCCTCCTCGCTCCCTCCCTTCCCTCCCCTCACCCTGACCATTTCCCTCCTCTCTCCCTCCCTTCCCTCCCCTCACCCTGACCATTTCCCCCCTGCTCGGGTCATGACCCAACTGTGCAGCGCCTTGGGACGTCCTCCTGACGTGAAAGGCGCTCTATAAATGGAATCTTGTTGTTGTTGTTGTTGTAGTATCATCTGCAAACTTGGAAATTGTACTCCCTATACCGAAGTCCAGGTCATTTACATAGATCAACAACAACAGTGGTCCCAATACCGACCCCTGGGGGACACCACTGCACACTTCCCTCCAGTCAGAAAAACAACAGTTCACCACTCTCTGCTCTCTGTCTCCCAGTCGGCTCTGTATCTGCTGCCACTGTCCCTTTAATACTGTGGGCTTCTATTTTGCTTACAAGTCTCTTATATGGCACTTTATCAAACGCCTTTTGAAAACCCATATAAATTACAACAACTTCACTACCTTTATCCACCTTCTCCATTACTTCATCAAAAAACTATCAGGTTTGTTTTGCCTTTAACAAATCCATGTTGACTGTCCTTTATTAACCCATATTTTTCTAAGTGAAAATTTATTTTGTCCTGGATTATATTCTCCAGAAGTTTCCCCACGGCTGAGTTAGGCTGACTGGCCTGTAGTTCTCGGGTTTATCCTCGTGCTCCTTTTTACACAGGGGAGTAACAATTGCAACTCTCCAATTCTCTGACACCACCCCAATGTCCAAGAAGTATTGAAAGATTGTGGCCAGAGCCTCCTTTATTTCCACTTTTACTTCCCTCAGTAACCGAGGATGCATCCCTTCTGGACCGGGTGACTTATCTACCGTAAGGCTGACACATGGCAACTGAGCCAGGCTGACACGCGGCGAGTGAGCCAGGCTGACACGCGGCGACTGAGCCAGGCTGACACGCGGCGACTGAGCCAGGCTGACACGCGGCGACTGAGCCAGGCTGACACGCGGCGACTGAGCCAGGCTGACACGCGGCGACTGAGCCAGGCTGACACGCGGCGACTGAGCCAGGCTGACACGCGGCGACTGAGCCAGGCTGACACGCGGCGACTGAGCCAGGCTGACACGCGGCGACTGAGCCAGGCTGACACGCGGCGACTGAGCCAGGCTGACACATGTTGTGTCAGAGCTTGGGAGCACCACATTCCGACGAATGCCACTGTGTGTTGGCATAACTTGGTGTGATGTGCGGTGGGCGATATAATGGGCGACTTCCTTCTGTTTCCTCCTTTTAACATTGTCTTTATAATAATGGAATAAAGGGCTTTGTTTTAGGCGATGCTGTTAACACTCATTTTCAGCAATATGTGAGGAATAATAAGCTTTGTGTCTTCACATGAAAAATCAGCCCGTTGCTAATGTTTCAGTCAGATGAATAAATAAATCCTGACCACATTCTGGCGAACAGTCCATTGAGTGATAATTCATGTGTGTGCGTAATATTTTTTTATTCTTGCTGAAGTGAATTATCACTATGCTACTATGTGAATAAGCGAGTGCAGAATGCCTTCAGTATTGACTTAGCATCAACAGAGACAATGAGAGGGTTTCAGTGAAAGTTATTTTGACACAACCTCTCGTGATATGCAACATTAAGAAAGGTCATGTTGCCATTGATTAATATGTTGCATCAATCTGACCCGGTAAATGTCCTCACAAATGTGCCACTGAGATCGAGCAAGTTTTCTCGGTGGCCAAACCGACCAGAGTCTTAGTTCCACCCCCCACCCCAGCCACACTCATCCCCAGGTCCCACACACACATACCGCCCCCCCCCCCCCGCCCCACACACACACACAACACCTCCCACCACACACACACCGCTCCCCCCCCCCCCACACACACACACACTTGAATGAAGAGAAAAGAATTGACAGAGGAAGCTAACTAACCAAATGATTGATTTTGCACTTTGTCTGTGGTGATAGGACGGGGGGAATCAAATTATATTAAAAAGGATTCTGTTGCCTTTGTGCTGAGATTTGCCTGAACGATGTTGAAATGACATGCGGAGCCTGTCGCCATCGAGCAATTTCCTTCTGTTCTGCTGATGGGACGTTAATATCACCATCTGTTTCTTTGTCAACCCGCATCCGCAGTGAAACTCTCCTCATCTGTTTGACTCCTGTCCTTTGTTTGCCTTGCAGGCCACGCAATATTCAAGCTCACATATCTAAGCAATCACGACCACAAACATCTCTACTTTGAGGCAGACACGGCCACAGTCAACGAGATTGTGCTGAAGGTTAGTCCCAGAGCTCGGCCGTTGTGTGAGCTGCTCGCTAAAGGTGTGAGCAAGACCGAGTGGCTTTTACATGGCAAATAGTGATGTTTCAAGAAGAAATAAGATAAATTTCTCCTAGAAAATAATATCGGGGTGGTGGGGGGGGATACAGTATATAGTTTTCTGACACGACATGTCAACCGACTGGATGGAACGTGGTCTTCTTTTGTAAACAATTGGGTTATACTGCTGGTGTCCTGTAGCCTTTCTCACTGCAGTGTTTTATGAGAATATCATTTATTCCATTTTATTTTGGTGAAGTGAAGCAGTGCTGTGAAGGACTAGATAAGGTAGAGCTCTATAGATTTGGGCCAAGGCGGCTCAGAGGTAGGGAGGGTGCTAATTTGGATTGAGGAAGCTTAAACCCAGGACAACACTTCAGAGATGAAATGGTGTTTATTGTACGCGTGCGATTGTTGAGGCATTTCCACGCTGTAACTGGCATTGAGCCTTTACCGAAACAATTGCATTACAGTCGGATTGGTGCTCGCTGTAATAGTCATTTGACCCAACCTCACTGTGACAGCAGTCTGACAGAGGTCTCTGTGCAGTCCTGTTCCCCTCAGACCTTTTTGTGTGTTTTTTTCCCCAAAAAATATTTGCCTACTGCTCTTTTAAAAGCTATTGTAGATTTGGCTTCAAGAACTGATTTGTATAGAGAAATCCTAAGTCTCATTGCTCCGCGCTGCTTTTAGTAACGGTCTTCACATTCCGCCCACGATTATCTCCGCAGTGAAACCCAGCATCAGTGTTTTGACGATGAGCTATCTTTCAAACCCTCCCCCTCCACCCCCACCCCAGTGCCTAGCCAACCGTGTGAGTGAGTGAAGTGCATTGAGACAACAACTTGCATTTATATAACGGCCTTCACGTGGGGTAGCATTTCGTCCTCCCAACGTGAAAGTCGCTGTGTAAATATTGTGTTGTGTTGCTCTCTTGTGACCCATCTCTCGGGGACAGTGGTGGGTTCCCAAGAACGAGGGGTCGTGGATGTGTGTGTGTTTTGGCTGGGATGTGTTTCGCTACTGACAAGTCCATCCAGTTATCATATTACTTCAGTCACGCTGTGGTGTCAGTTCTTGACATTGATTTTAACCCTATAGGAACAGGAGTAGTACATTCAGCCCTCCAACCTATTCCACCATTCTATTAGATCATGGCTGATCTGTACCCCAACTCCAATTACCTGCCTTTGCCCTCCCTTATTACCCTCCCTTGATAGCCCGTCCCAACAAACATCTATCCACTTCAATCTTGAAGATGTGAATGGATCCAGCATCCACAGCCTTTTGGGAGAGAGCGTTCCAGATTTCCACGACCCTTTGGGTGAAAAACTGCCTCATAATTTGACTCCTAAATGGTCTAGTTATTTAAATACCTTCCTCCGATTCTGCAGCACTTTATGGATTTCCAAGAACCAGAATCTACTGCCCATTGTCTATAAACTCAGGGCCCCATAGCCAGTCTCGCTTACTATTAAAATGCAGAGAAATGTACAACTAACACATTCTGAACAGCTGAACATCTGGTTCCAATAACAGTCTGGCTGTTGAAACCCTCGCCTTAGACTCTCTCCTTAATGAAGATTAACTTGAAAACGCAGTGGATCTCCCACATTGCGCCCAGTTTGGCAGATCAAATTGATACAAAGTGAGTTCTGCAAGTTAAGAAACAAAACTTGCAATTATCCCACAATAAGAATTTAGAGTAAGTTATAAATAATGGCGCGGAGGGAGCTAGGGGAGAGAAGATGATAAAGTAATGTTTGTAAATCAGCTGTCCCAACATCTGATGCTATCTTCCGTTGCATCTGAGATGATTTGACGACACAAGGGAGTTAAATGATCGCTGGATAATCAGAGTTGGTATTTATGCTTGGAAAATATAAAAGTTGTCTTCATTATTGGGAAAGGCACATTCTGTAACAACAAAATTACATTTGTATGGCGCCCTTCACGACGGGAGGACGTCCCAAGGCGCTGGACAGTCAGTTTCAGACTCTTAGAGATGCACCAAGGGGATAAGGACAGGGAGCAACTTAGGGAAATTTTCATTAGCAGAGAATTGGTGCTCGGGAAACTGTTAGCACTAAAAAGTGACAAATCCCCTTGTCTGGATGGCTTGCATCCCAGGGTTTTAAAAGAGGAGCTTATGAGACAGTGGAGGCCTTATGTCTGTTCTTCCAAAATTCCTTGGATTCTGGAACAGTCCCCATGGATTGGAAGATCGCAAATGTCACACCACTATTTAAAAAAGGTTGAAAGGAAAAGATGGGGAACTAAAGGCCAGTTAGTCTCACATGAGTGATAGGAAAAAATTTAGAATCATTGATTAAGGATGTGGTAGTGCGGTATTTAGGGCACAATATAATTAGGCCAAGTCAACACGGCTTTACAAAAGGGAAGTCATGTTTGACAAATCTCATAGAGTTTTTTGAGGATATTTTGAGTAAACTAGATAAGGGTGAATCAGTGGATGTGGTCTATTTGGACTTCCAGAAGGCATTCGATAAGGTGCCGCATAAAAGACTAGTCCAAAAGATAAGGGCTCATGGAATTGGGGGGAGCATATTAACGTGGATTGGGGAATGGTTAACGGGTAAGAAACAAAGAGTAGGGATAAAGGGATCCTTTTCAGATTGGCGGGATGTGACTAGTGGAGTGCCACAAGGATCAGTCCTTGGGCCTCAACTATTTACCATCGACATCAACGATCTAGATAAGGACATCGAAGTTAATATATCTAAATTCGCAGATGATACAAAACTAGGAGGAAGTGTCAACACAGAGGACGACATTAAAAAAATGCAGTGAGACATAGATAGGTTAGGTGATGGGCAAGTAGGTGGCAGATGAAGTATAATGTATAGAAGTGCAAAGTCATCCACCTAGGGAGCAAAAACAGTAGAGCGGGTTATTTTTTAGAAGGGGAGAGATTGGAATGTGTTAGCGTCCAGAGGGACTCGGGTGTCCTTGTACACCAATCATAGAAAGTTAGTCTGCAGGTGCAGCAGCAATTAGGAAGGCGAACGCTATGTTAGCATTCATTATGAAAGGATTAGAGTATAAGAGTAGGGAAGTCTTGCTGCAACTGTATAGGGCCCTGGTGAGACCACACCTGGAATACTGTGTCCAGTTTTGGTCTCCTTATTTAAGGAAGGATGTTCTTGCCTTGGAGGGGGTGCAGCGTAGATTTACTCGGTTAGTACCAGGGATGAAAGGGATGAGTTACGAGGATAGGTTGACCAATTTGGGCCTATATTCTCTAGAATATAGAAGAATTAGAGGGGATCTTATAGAAACCTATAAGATCATCAAAGGTCATGATAGAGTAGATAGTGGGAGATTGTTTCCTCGGTTGGAGAAACTAAAACTAGGGGTCACAACATTAAAATCAGAGGCAGCCCTTTCGCACTGAGTTGAGGAAGAACTTCTTCACTCAAAAGGTGGTGAATGTATGGAACTCACTACTCCAAAGGGCTGTTGACGCTCAGTCCTTGAACATATTCAAGACTGAGATAGATAGATTTCTTATTGCAAAAGGTATTAAGGGATATGGGGATAAGGCAGAGTTATGGTATTAGCTGGAGTTAGATTAGAAGATCAGCCATGATTGAATGGCGAGGCAGGCTCGAAGGGCTGAATGGCCTACTCCTGCTCCTACATGTTATGTTATGTTAAACACAAGTTGTTGTCGTTTACTTATTTCCTATTTTTAAAAAATGTGGTCACTCAATCCACGATTGTTTGTTGGACAAGGCTGCATGCTTCATGTTCCTTCAGCTCCTTGGGATGTCCTCCCGACATGAAAGGCGCTGTACAAATGTAATCTTATTGCTGCTGTTGTATGCATTTGGCTGGCACGTTTCGCCCACAATATACATTTCACAGTATTATTATATTAAGAATTGTGAGCTCGCTGCTTGTGATGCTCCATCCTTCTAGACAAAGCGTCTAACGGGATTCCTGACAACACATCGTCTGTCTCCAACTCTGCCCCGTCTCTGAATTAAACCAGAAGATATGTTTTACAGACATGGATTAATTAATCCAGACTGGAAATAAATATACCAGAGCAGTGAGGACAACTACAACCACAAATGCTATTTACACAACGCCTGTCGACAGTCAGGGATTTGGACCTGAGCTAGGGGTTGGGATCGGGAGGGGTGGAAAGCAGGGAAGGTGGTGGTAGGAGGGTGTAATCTGAGAATTGCACTTGTATAATACTCTTCGCAAAGGAGAGAGAGAGGGAGCTGGGATTAAAATAAAATCCTTAGAATAACTTCAAAAAGAGTTGAAAAAGTCTAATGAGAAACAAGGTCTCGAAGGAAGAAGAATTTTTGAGCCCAGGATTCAAAGTTAATTAATTAATTCCCCCCCCAACCCGCCCCCAGGCCACTGGAGGTTGAGGAACGTGTTTTAGTGACCCTCCTTACACCCCTTTGATCTTGAGCCACTCTATCCCAACCGCCCACCGGGTTTTGGGTGTAAGACGCTGCAGTCTTCCACAGGTTCTGATTTCATCATCTGTGACTAACTGTGTGTGGTGACTGGGAACTCAAATGAAGGAAAGGGTGAGTGTGTGTGAGTCATTTGCGTGCTTCTTCCACAAAATACACAGTCATTCCACTTTACAGTGTAATTATGGAGGCCTGTAGCTCAGTGGTTAGAGCACTCGCCTCGCAAGCAAGATACTTGGGTTCGATTCCCGGCAGAGTGAAATCTTGGGCAAGTTTCCTTACTCCACACGCCTGATAATAATCCCTCAAGAAAAAAAACAATAATAAATTGGTCGCTTCAATCCACGACTGTTTGTGGGACACTGCTGTGCGCAATTGGCTGCCGCGTTTCGCCCACAAAATAAACAGTCAATTCACTTTACAGTATATTCTGTGAAGCGCTTTGAGACATCTCAAAGACGTGATAAGGAGCTGTATCAAATGCAAGGATTATTATTCTAATATTCAGAATACCCTGAAATGTCTAGACCAGCATCTAAGCGCCTTTCTCCACCGCCAAATGCGCTGGGTTACAAGCCACTGCTGAATCTCGAGGCAAACGGAGTCACTCACGTCTTTGTGATTGGAGTGGGATGAGCTCAGACTCGCTGAGTCGAGGAGATAAGAGTCTTTGATTAACCGTTTGTACTCAAATACTTCATATTTGTGACAACCTTCCCTGCTTGAGAGAACATTTTTTTTTACACGTGTCCTCTTTAAAAAGGGCACCTTCAGGGTTGACAAATTGACCAGAAACATAGCAGTTCAGCTCTTAAAAGACATGGTGTGTTTGGCTCTGTGCCTCACCACCATCAGCATGTGCAATAATAATTTGGTCACTCAATCCACGATTGTTTGTGGGACACTGCTGTGCGCAATTTGCTGCCGTGTTTCATCCACAAAATATGCAGTCAATTCAGTTTACAGTATATTCTGTGAAGCGCTTTGAGACGTAATGAAAAGGTGCTATATCAAATGCAAGGATTATTATTATTAAATGTTAACTTGGTCCCACTCTCAGCAACTCAGCTTTCAGCCACCATTCAGCCCACGCACTCTGGAACACTCTCCCCAAATTCATTCACGTCAGGCTGTCCAAACCCTCTAAAAAATTGCTCTTTAACTAAACCTTTGTTATCGCCCCAATACTGCCACAACCCCACTTAGCTTGTCATCACTGAGGAGCATCATATCTTCTAGACGTCTCAAAGCGCTTCACACAATATACTCTAAAGTGAATTGACTGTATATTTTTAGGCGAAACTCTTGAGCGATTATTATCAGGCGTGTGGAGTAAGGAAACTTGCCCAAGGTTTCGCCCTGCCCAGGAATTGAACCTAGGTCTCTCGCTTGCGAGGCGAGTACTAACCACTGAGCTACAGGACTCCCAACAATTGAAGCAGTGTGAGACTCCGCTCTTGTTGCTAACGTTTCTGCCTGAGGTTGTGAGGGAAGGCGGTGCTGGACGGCCTGTGTGATGTTGTTTGGCTTCCTGTTCTCCTCGGCTGTGCTGTGATCACCAACGAGCTAACCATCAATCACTGGACTAGTCCAGACTAAGGTTTTATTAGCCATGAAAAATATTCCGAAGCAGCTTAAGGTATCTCCGCGTTAAAATGTAACGACTATGAAGACCCCAGGAGTACATAAAACTGTTCAGCTTTTACATCGCCAAATCTTCTTTAGTCAACCAACTGATACTAAACCAAAGGGCTCTCTCTGTGTGTTTTGATTTTTACATTAACCTTGCATTAAAAATGATCACGGCTCTCATCACCGAGTGTCGTACCCAATAAATTAACCTTTTACGAGACGTGTAAAACAAGTATTTACGATTCTCTAATGTGACCGGCTCCTCATCCCCAACCTGCCATTTTCTCTCCATTTCAGCAGCGTCTGTCCATGAGCCTCTCATACCCTCTCCCTGGGTTGCGTACGAGGAACATAAGAGTAGGAGGAGGCCATTCAGTCCCTCGAGCCTGCTCTGCCATTCTGTACGATCCTGGCTGAACTGTACGTCAACTCCCAATTACCTGCCTTAGTTCCATAACCCTTGATTGATACCCTGACCTCACAAACATCTATCCACCTCAGTCTTGAAAATTTGTATTGATACTCACAACGTTTTATTAATTTAGTGTCAGAAGCCAGTGTTTTGACAGCATTTTCACAGGTTAATCATCAGTTCACCTCACGGTTGTCTGTGGCCGGGCAAATGGCATCAGACAGTCACTCCCTCAAACGCTCAGCAAAATGATGACTAATTTTGGTGACTGGCGTGGCCTAGACCCACGTGTGTAAGTGGGCTTCCAGTTTGAGGACAGTAACTGTTTTTTCAGATAACTGCATGTAAAGGGACTGGCTTTCCCTGCTACTAACCCTCAGACCTGCCACATGAACTCTCATGGTCACCAACCTGCCTAACGCAGCAATCCGAAGACACCTGCTTCATTTGTGAAAACTTTCCGTTCGCTGTGCAGAGTACTTCAATTCATTGGAGAAGTCATTTTTCCCGGAGAAGAAAAACGCTCCCAGATCATTAACCCTTTATACTTCAATCTCCAGGCTTCATTTTAAAAAAAAGCCATCTGCAAACAAGCAATGAAGGAGCTGTGCTTGAAACAGAACCATTTCATTAGAAATGTTACCAAATTGGGATTTTATCCATCAGCCACTGAGGTGGGAGCAGAGTTTTATAGTGACCAGGGCAACAACAAATGACGTTTACACAGAGCCTTTCAAGTCGGGAGGACGTCTCAAAGCGCTGGACAGTCAAGGATTTGGGAGGTTGGGATCAGGAGGGATGGAGGGCAGGGAGGCAAGGGGTAGGAGGATGACCGCAGGCATGGTTGAAGAGGAAGGTCTTGAGACAGGCCTTGAAAGAGGCAGGGGAGGGGGAGGGGGCGAGGTGAAGGAGTGTGTGAAGGACTGAGTGGTGGCCATTGTGTCTCTGAAGGCACTGAGCCCAGGAGGTGGTGGATGGTGTATGAGCTAATAGGGCTGTCAGCAATAGTAATTTATTAAAATCAAGTCGTTGACCCATTGCCTGAACGAATGGTCGATTATTAAGCACATAAGAGAGAGGGGCTGGGGCTCTGCCTGAACAAACAGCTGACCTTAAAAAAGATCAGATTCTCCCAACATTATTGAAATCGATTTAGGTGTTGCCAAGCAACAGACCTGCTTCTGTGCTGCAACACGTGACTGACTGCAGGTCTGTCACACTCCAAAAACAATTGATTACAAATATCTTCATTTGTAGCTTTCATGTCCAGAGGACGTCCCAAAGCGCTAGAGAGTAAAGGACGTGCATCCGAGCTGGGGGTTGGGATCAGGAGGGGTGGAGGGCAGGGAGGGTGGGGGTCGGAGGGTGACCAAAGGCACGATCGAAGAGGAAGGTCTTGGGACGTACTTTGAAGGAGGCTTATTTAACATTACGGCTTGTTGTGAAATCAATTGATTGACTTTTTCTTTCCCTCATCAGATTAACTATATTTTGGAATCGCGAGCGAGTTCGGCACGAGCAGATTACCAGGCTCAGAAACAAAGGAAACTGAGCAGGCGGACAAGCTTTAGCTTCCAGAAGGACAAAAAGTCAGGACAATAGGGCTGTTCTCAAGCCAACCCACTGCCCACCCGGCCGGACTATCCCACTGAGAAAGGTACCCTTCCCCCTCCCCCGGCCTGGCAGAGGAGCCAGTGGAACCATGAACTGTTCAGGTTTGCCGCCGCCGAGGGCGAGGAGACTGATTACAATCGAGGGAAACATTTCAGCTCTTGTCGTGTCCCCAGGTGCCCTGAGTGGCAGGTGGGTTTTTAAATCTCTTGGGGTCGTCCTGTTTGCCATCGCCCATAGAGAGAGACAGCAGAGAGGAGGCTGTGCCGCTTCCCGACACTTCGATCCCCAATTCAACAGCCAATTCCCCCCCAAAATGTGGACATGAGGAGCGGCGCTGGCTGACAGTGGACTGGACACGGATGTGTGTGAAACCTGTCACACGATCAAGGTGTGAAGTCTGTCACATGATCAAAGGTGAATATCAAATCATGCGGAACAAAAGAAAACGTCAAATTCCCTTTTTTTTTGGATTATTCTTAAACAACAATAACACAATTACTGGACAAATACTTGGTAAATAGTTGAAATGATTTTTTTATGACCTGCGAAGGAAATGAACCTTGGTTTTTACTGTGATCTGTAAACGGTTCCCACGTGGTACCTGCTCGCTGCTGTGTAACCGCCCTGTGCTGGGGCAGGCGTACACACTGTCATCATTTCAGGACAGGTTGGGAATGTATAATAAGTTTAAACACATTTTGTGGCAAAATATATATAAAGAAATACTTTGTTTCCCAAAAAAAACATTTATTTTTCATGAACCCAACTTTTATTTTCACCGTTTCAATTTGCCATTGTCCTATCTTTTGTTGGTCGGCCGGGTGTCTGGCACACGCGGAAACCCATCACCGTTGCTTAAGAGCATCCAAACCAAACTCAGAATTCCACACGTCTCATCTACACACGGAAATCCCAGAAATAGATTGTTGGAGTGGAATGCGCTCTCTCTCTCTCTCCCTGGAGGGACGCACTCTGCTTACCTAATTCTGGAGAGTATTAGGCGCAGGTTGGCAAGAGCAGGTTGGGACCCCAGAGAGTGCGTTGGGGTAACTGCTAGAGTCCAACCAGCTAAAACCATTGATGATGTACCTACAGTGATGCATGTAAAAGTCGGTAACTGGGAGTTTGTATTCATCATTTTGCTGTGCTTGAGGGGGGAGGTGGGATGGTGAGAGAGAGAAGATCACAGCTGGATGACCACAGCAGACCGGGAATGAAATCCCAGCGTCCTGGAATCCGTAGAGATCAGATGTAGCATGTCTCCACTGGGACATCAAGCGAAGCCTTGCTGCTGTTGTGGGTATCAATGTAATGATGGTGACAAGAGGAAACCTTGTTGTTTCCAATACACCTGCCATCCTCCTGTGCCCAGTCACAGGACCGGACAGGCCATTACCAGACGCATTTCAATCCGTTTTCGATGCAGATTTTGTCCCCAGCAGCATAATGGGGTTAATGGGGTGAAGGGGAGGGGGGGATTGGAAGGTACTGGGAGCCATAGTTGAGTCTCGACACTTATCCGCAGCTGAAGCCGGGCTCCACATCCTGTTGGTGACCCTGAACATAAACCTCTCTCACCAGCCATTGCTTCTCAATGCAACATTTTTCCTTGTTTTGAGCCGTTCGTCTCACTCGAACCTGAATTATCTGTCTCCCTGTTCCAAGGCTCTATTGAGTACTTCCTGCTTTATAGGGTCATTCACTGGTATCAGACAGGCAGACGCACACACAGGCACGCACACAGGTGTCCACACACACACAGGCACGCACACGAGTATAACGTAAGCATCGAGTGACCTATTATTGATTTCGTTTTTTTACATCTGTCTGCTGCCTGTGTATCTGTCTGTGTGTGTACCTATGTGTGTGTATGTATGTTTGTGTGTGTATCGCCCGTCTCTGCCAATACCTCACTCCAAAAGCCGCTGAAACCCTGGTCCATGCCTTTGTCACCTCTCGGCTGGACTATTCAAATGCCCTCCTCACCGGTCTCCCCTCCACTACCATCCATAAAATCCAGGTCATCCAAAACTCTGCCGCCCGCATTCTTACCCGCACCAAACTCCGGTCCCCGATTACCCCAGTCCTTGCCAGACTGCACTGGCTGCCCGTCCCAGAGAGGATCGACTTCAAGATCCTCACTCTTGTCTTCAAATCCTTCCAATTCTCTGCACCCCCCTACCTTTCTGACCTCTCTCCTCAAAACAGTGCCCGTTGCATTCGTTCCTCCGGGTCTGGCCTCTTCCTTGCCCACCGAATTCTCCGCTCCTTCAGCCACTATGCCCCAAGGCTCTGGAACTCCCTTCCCCACTCCCTCCGCCTCGCTCCCTCTCTTCCTATTTTCAGGTCTCAGCTGAAGACCTTTTCGACCGCACCTTTGGTCACCTTTCTCCCCCTCCCCCTGGCTCGGTCCCGGGATCTAATAATAATAATCTTGCATTTGATATAGCGCTTTTCACGTCAGGAGGACGTCCCAAAGCGCTTCACAGAACACACTGTAAAGTGAATCGACTGCATATTTGTTGGCGAACGCGGCAGCCAATTGCGCACAGCAATGTCCCACAAACAGTCATAGATTGAAAATGACCAATTTATTATTGTTTTTGGTTTTGGAGGGATTATCATTAGGCTCTGTGTGGAGTAAGGAAACTTGCCCAAGGTTTCGCCCTCTGCCTGGAATTGAACTCAGGTCTCTCACTTGCAAAGCGAGTGCTCTAACCACTGAGCTACAGGACTCCACTATCTATTACTCCATCTATTACCGGAAGCACACTTCCAGCGTGGAGGGCGCTATATAAATCCAAGTTGTGTGTGTGTGTGTATCTATGTGTGTATGTGTTTGTGTGTGTGTGGGGAGGGGTGTGGTGTTTGCCCATATGACAGCAGTTGCTCTGCACGCAGTAACTTTTTTTGAAACCCTTGGAAACAATTGAACATGATCAGCCGCTGTGTAAAACCTCTTTTACCTGTTGAAGAAACAGAAGTAAAGTTGAGCGGCTGTGGTCAGTGCAGTGTGCCATTGCCATTGGTTTGGTTTTGCATTTCCTCAGCATTTTCACCTTGTTTCTCTCCACAACCTCAGTAAACAACAACAAGATTACATTTGTATAGCACCTTTCAGGTCGGGAGAACAAAGACATTAGTCTGTAACATGTCCCCGATGGCAGCTTCACTCCCAGCGTCGAGCACGGCCACAGACACCGGCCCTTCAGCAAATAATAGTAATAATAATAATTTGGTTACTTGATCCACGACCGTTTATGGGACGCTGCTGTATGGAATTGGCTGCCGTGTTTCGCCCACAAAACAGTCAATTCACTTTACAGTATATTGTGTGAAGCGCTTTGAGATGTCTTGAAGACGTGATAAGGCGCTATATCAAATGCAAGGATTATTAAATGAATTTAACGGCACGGTTATAAATCACATTCACAGGCAACTTGAAATCCCTCGTCCCCACAAAAACTCTAACTTCTCCCCCTTCTTTTTGTGCTGATGGTTTTATGAACTCGCTGGGAAAGATGTTTCATTACCACTGGGATCAAAACACAACTGATTTATCAAATTTCAATTGGCAGGAAGCTGCCAACTGGTCTGTAGCCCGGCTGTCAGTCACACGGGGGGTGGCCTGTCTGTCATTCTCTTTTTATCTCTCCCTTTCTCTATCTCTCTTCCTCTCTCTATCCCTCTCCCCCTCCCTCTCTTTCTTCCCTCTCTTCCCACCACCCTGTTTCTCTTCCCCCCCCCCCTCTCTTCCCCTCTCTCTTTCCCTCTTCCCCCCCCGCCTCTCTTCCCCTTTCTCTTCCTCTTCCCCTCCCTCTTTCCCTCTTCCCCCTTCTCTCTTCCTCTTCCCCCCCCCCCCCTCTCTCTCACTCAGTGGTTTCAGGTCAGGACGGTTGATCTGTGAGTCTCAGAGGCTTTGCGGAAGGTGAGACTCCGGCCCAGGTTCACCGCGGAGTCTGCAGAGAGCAATTGGCTTTGCAGCAGTAACTTGTACCAGGATCTGACAAACAGCATCACTGATCTCCAGCCCGGACCCGAGGGTGAAAAGCTGTCACTCAAAAACCGGTGCCCACTTTTGTGTCAGTTTAGTTCATTGAAGCAATCGGCTGCCGCGTTTCGCCCACAAAATACAGTCACTCTACGTTACAGTATATTCCGTGAAGCACTTTGAGAGGAGAAGGCCCTGTATCAACTGCCAGAATTATGAGATTATACCAGCCAATTGCACACAGCAGTGTCCCACAAACAGTCATTTATTATAATTGTTATAATAATAATAATCCTTGCATTTGATATAGCGCTTTTCATGTCTTCTAGACTTCTCAAAGCGCTTCACAGAATAGACTGTAAAGTGAATTGTACTGAACGAGTACTTTGCATCTGTCTTCACAATGGAAATGGAAGCCCCAAACGCCGCAGTATTGGATGAGAGTGTAGAGGAAATAGATCAGATTACTATAGACAGAGCGGAAGTTCTGAAAAGATTGACTGGGCTCAAAATTGATAAGTCACCAGGACCAGATGGGTTTCACCCAAGGTTGCTGTGGGAGATACGGGTTCAAACAGCGGAGGCTTTGGCCACTATATTTCAATCGTCATTGGACACAGGAGTGGTGCCAAGAGACTGGAGAGTGGCTAATGTTACCCCCTCTACAAAAAGGGGCAGAAAGACAAGCCCGGAAATTACAGGCCAGTCAGCCTCACTTCAGTAATAGGAAAACTACTGGAGACCATAATCGGGACAGAATAAATCTCTACTTGGAGGAACACGAGGTAATTAGAGACCCCCAACATGGATTTGTTAAAGGCAAATCTTGCCTAACAAATCTAATAGAATTTTTTGAAGAGGTGACTGCGAGGGTTGATGAGGGAAATGCGGTGGACGTTATTTACATGGATTTCAAAAAGGCTTTTGACACAGTTCCGCATAAGAGATTAATATAAAAATTAGAGGCCCACAGTATTAAGGGGACAGTGGCAGTTTGGATTAAGAACTGACTGAGTGACAGAGAGCAGAGGGTGGTGGTTAATGGGTGTTTCTCGCAATGGAAGGAGGTGTGCAGCGGTGTCCCCCAGGGATCGGTATTGGGACCACTGCTCTTTCTAATATATATTAATGATCTGGACTTGGGCATAGGGAGCACTATTTCCAAGTTTGCAGATGATACCAAGTTAGGTCGGGTAGTAAATAGTGAGGAGGACTGTAACCAACTGCAGGCAGACATACACAGAATGGTGGAATGGGCTGACATGTGGCAGATGGATTTCAATGTGGATAAGTGTGAGGTGATACACTTAGGTAGGAAAAATGATAGGAGGCAATATAGACTTGGAGCTCAATCTTAAGGGGGGTGAACGTACAGAGAGATCTGGGTGTTCAAGTAAGCGAATCATTAAAGGTAGTGGGGCAGGTAGATAGGGCAGTAAAAAAGGCATTTGGTGTACTGAGCTTTATTAGTAGGGGCATAGATTTTAAGAGTAGGGGTTATGGTTAATCTATACAAAACACTGGTTAGGCCTCAGCTGGAGTACTGCGTCCAGTTCTGGGCACCTTACTTCAGGAAGGACATTAAGGCCCTGGAAAGGGTGCAGAGGAGATTCACGAGAATGATACCAGGAATGGGGAACCTTAGCTATGAGGACAGTGGAGAAGTTAGGACTTTTCCCATTAGAGCAGAGAAGGTTACGCGGGGACCTGATAGAGGTCTTCAAGATCATGAAAGGTTTCGACAGGCGAGATAGGGAAA